AAATGTTGCTGTTGTTCCAAGGAGGCTGAGCTCCTCTTTGCAAGGTGTGTATCTCTAGTTAATCCCTAATCAGTTAAAACTGGAAAATCTGCTATCAAGATTTAATTTCAATACCCAGCATTTGAAAATGTGTTATTCAGCTGTGGATGTCTAAGGCAAGGCTAAAATAGTTCCCCTGTTTTGAAAATAATATGAGCGGTATAATATTTCTTCTCTACTTTCCCTGCTGCTAAGGTCTCATTTGGAGGGGGGGAGAAGGGAGTGGAAAGACCTTATCCAGTACAGAAGGTGTTGGTGGTGGGTTTTAAACAAATACACACAAAAAGCAAAATGCATAGGGGAAGTTTCTGTGAGATACAGTGTTGTCCTGCAGAATGCAGGGTAATGCCCAGCTTGCACTGGGCTTTTTTAAAGAGAGACATTGGTTTTCACTTTGAATTTCTTTTATTTCCTTATCCAGGCTCGTGAGGTGGCTTCCAAGTGATCTCTCTGGCATTCATTCCCGTGGAGCCTGTTACTGGGGTTGCCTCGGGCTCCCCACGGCACCTGGGTGATCATCTTAATTAAATTAACCTGGTTTAACGCATGGCCTCCTGGTAATACATTCATCTTTTGGCTTTGTGTGGAGCTGCTCGAGCAGCCCCAGGCCTCACTGTCCCCCCAGAGTAGGGACGCCTCCGGAGGGACTTGCAGGATGACCTGGGCTCCAGCCACCACCATCCTACTGAGGTGAGTATCCTTCAGGCCACATATCCTCATTGCAAAGGCCATTTTCCAAGCTCCCAGGGGTGGTGTCAAGGGTGTTTCCTCGGGGAACAGCCAACTCCGAGGCAGCCTGAGCCTGCACAAGTGCGAGGACGCGGCATAGATCTGCAGCGCGCCGGGAAGGTGAATCCAGCATGATATCGCTCTGGTAATGCAGTGGAATAAACCTTTCTGGGAGGGGAAAAAAATCCCAGCGATGCCGAAAGGCTGGTGTGTCTTTCCATGCAGCCGCTGGCTGGGGCTGGGGCTGCTGGGGGCCAGGGGCAGACAGAGCTGGCCCCTCGGGCACCCCAGGGCTAGGGCTCCGCTGGCTGGTTTCATATCTGCTCGTGCTTTACCTTGCACATTTTCAAGTGGCAATTGAATAACCCCAGGCTGACGTTGGGAGGGGGGAGCACTCCTGCCGTGCGATGCACAGCCCTGTGCTCTGCAGCAGATCAAACAGGCTCAGAAGAGCCCTTCTCATCTTCAAAAGGGGAATTTTGCACTTGAAACCCAGCTTATCCTCTCCATTTGCTGAGTTTTCTCTGTAACCAAGCCCTGAATAATTTAAGTAACATAACATCGGCATTAGGCTTCCAAAGCTGCTGGAGTGCGTGTGAGGGTTGCTACTGCCCAAAGCAGTTACACACAATTACTCCAGGAAGTTGAATATTACATCTGCTTGTTTATTTAGATTAAGGTTTCATGTTTGGTCTAGACTGGTTTTTTTCCCTGAGTTTTGCTGCAGAAGCACCTGCACTATTTGAAATTGATGTGTTGTGCTAATGAATATGTCCAAATGAAAACATCCAAAACTACACAGTTCAGGCCCAAAGCACTGCTTGGGAATTCTAAGGGTTTCTTGGTGAAGATGGAAACATGCCATGTGCCACAGGGACTTGTCTGAGTCATTTCTCTACAGCGCAGCCGGCTGAGCATCACTTCCATAGGTACGCAGGAGTCCCCAGAGGAGGGGGATGGCATCCTGCAGATGGGCAGGAGCCCCCATCCCAGGTAGTGTGTCCATCCCACAGCAGGGAATAGCAGAGTGTAGTGCATGAGAGACCCCCAAGGGCTCTGCTGCCTCACTGCACCCCAAAAAGGATCGGGAACTCACAGTGCACTGGGGTTCTCTCCAACAGCTGGTCCTTGGGGACCAGCCTGGGCAAGCCCGCCCAGCTGGTGTCACCTTCTTGGCGGCCTCACCAATGGCCATGCCTCTCAGGAGTTTGGGTTTTCTAGGAATTCTTCACTGGAGGAGAAAAATTGGTCTAGAAGTGTGAGTGAGCAGAGGATGCCTTGCAGCAAGGGCAGCACCAGAAAGGCTGCTGGGAACTGTTGGTGTGGACCCAAGGGTAAAAATTAGGGAGGCTGTGCTTGCTAGTGAACCTCTGGGTTACAGCAGCTTTGGGTGGGCATCTCTGCCCAGGATGTGCAGGTGCCTCCTTTCTGCTCCTGGGCTGCTGCTGTGCCCTGTCACTTCCAGGGTGGCAACTTTAAACATTTTTGCATTCACCTTAACTTACAGTGGCAGAAATTGTTTGTGGTCTGCTTACCTAGATGGAGAACAGAGATTACCCTGGGATCATCCTGTGGCAGCTGTAGCCTTTACACCAAGATGCCCAAGAGGAAATCCCCCTGGAGCGAGGTGGCCGTTCCTCCCTGCGTGCCTCAGCTGATACAGGAGGTCCAGCACAAACTCCACACGGGAGGTTCAGAACCCTGCAGGTCCTCGTCCTGCTTATGGATCTGAATTCGGACTCAGTGTGTTCGTGTAATTCAAGATGAGGTGGGTAAGTGGAAGTCATGGATTTTGCCAGGCCAACTGTTACAGCTGGGAGAAGTAAACAAGATTTGAGTGCCCTGACCCTCCTTCAGGTATGTGCATCTATATATAGGGCTGTCTAAATATACATGTCTATATATAATGTGTGTGCATATAGCTGTGGATATATATATGTGCTGAGAAATGGTTTGAAATTGCAGCAATGCTGTGAGATCATCTCTGCTTGCACCAGGCTGTGCCAGGTGTCAGCCAGGCAGGATACGGCCCCTTAAGTGCGCGTCTCTCCCTGTTCCCCCAACCTTCAGCTTCCTCGGAATGCGAAGGTCACTCTCCAGCGTGCCACCCGCTCTGCCTCCTTCCTGCTGAACCCGATCCCTGGGTGTGTGGCCTGGCCAAGTCTGCTGGCCAGAGCCACCCCTGGGGATGGCTGGGGAGTGGTTACCGGGTGGGATTTAGGGGAGTACACAGGTTGGCAGGAGCACTGAGGGCACAGAGGTGCAGGCTGGGCAGGGTGGGTCGACTTCTGTAGACGTGAGGTTTTCCCGGTGGCTTCAGGGGCCTCGAGCAGCCCCAGGAGCTGAGAAAAGCGGAATCTGCTCAGAGCTGTGCGGTGTGATGGATGGGCTGTCGTCACGGGGTCCCCTCCTGCACCGAGGTGCTGTGTGGCACAGTTGTCTTTGTAATTGGGAAGAAATACGGCTGCCAGAGCTGGGGGGCACCTGGCACGTGTGTGGGTCACTGCGCCCGCAGCAGGAGGCCGGGCTGCGTACCCCCGCCTGGGAACCGC